GCTCGTGCTGGGCCGGGCCGGGCCGGGCCCCGGGGCGCTGCTCCGTCGGGCGCGCAGGTGCGAGGAGCCTGTTGCTGCTCGGGCCCTTCCTGCGCCTCGCGCCGGCACGTGTGAAGGGGGGCTCGGCGGCCGCTGCGCTCGTCTGCACGGCGGTGTTTCCCGCGGGGGACGCGGCTGAGACCAAGGCGGTGATGGGAGGTGTCTCCGGCCGAACCGGAAGTGGTGGCCTGCTGGGGAAATCCACCAAAGGCCCCAGTCCATCTCTGGTGGCACTGGTTACTGTCGGGTTGGCTTTTGACCCTCGGCGTGTGTTGGAGCACCTGTTTCAAGAAATGTGCTTGTACCGGATCTGCCGCAAGTGCGGGGAGGGCGCGAGAGGAGGGGTAGGGGTGGGAGAGGGATCCCACATCTAATCTGGCCCTAGTGTGGTTTCAGTGGCTTCCTGTGTTTGTGCCTCAACTTCATCAGTCTGTTTGTTGTTGGATTAATGAATGTGTCAGTGAAATGCCTGCTGGAGCGGTGATACAAGAAGCGCACTGTACGAGTTGCGCATGAATGCATACGACTGTCCGAGCGGATGGAGTAACCGTCTGTATTTTGTTTGCAGCTTAGCCCCTTGATTGCATTCTAAATTTTAAAATTTCACGGTAGTGTTCCCTCAAACATGCCCTCCAACTACGAGTGAACACTGGAAAGAGGTTTTATGGTTCTGTGAGTGATTTGGAGGAAAGGAATTCAGTTGCTAGATTGCAATCTCCTCTTGGGGACGGACAGAGTCAACAGCTATGATTGCTTCTCACATAGCTGTTGCTCGCTCGCTCGCCGGCAGTTCTGTGTTCAGAAGCTGGGGGATGTGGGAAATGTGGGAACGGGGCTGACCCAGAGTGCTAATTTTATTCATTTGAAATTTGGAGAGGCCTGAGCAAATCTGTGTGTTTCTTTTCTTTCTTCTCTTTTAAAATCAATTTCATTAAACTCATGTACTTCTATATGTAGTTACTCTTATTCAGGTTTGAATGCCTTATTTTGTTTTAGGTTAACTTGGTTGCACGTGATTAAACTACACTGAAACAGTGCTACTCTTAAACAGTGTAAAGTGCCTGAATACAAAGAATCATCTTTTTAAAGCAACCTAGTTAAACCAGTGCAAGCTGAGATGAGACTCTAGATTGTTTGTTTATGAATGATCCTTTTCTGACCTACTGAGAGCTGAGAATGAGGGAAGTGTCAAAACAAAGGTATTGTTTCATTAAACCTGCTGAAATCTTTTCAAGAGTGGTATTAGACTTTGGACCTGAGGCTGCTGAAAAAGAAGCAGGAGAGGGCTTTCTTTACTTCTGCTAAGGTATAATACCTACTCAGTAGTGCTTCCCTGTAAAACTTAATGTTAAGTTATGGTCTCTTAAAAGAAATGTTTCCCTTGACGGTCTGTAACCTAAAAATTCTGCATGTGAGCTTTAAATGTTCTGTATTACTTTGTTTATGTGTTATACACATTTACCTGTATTCAGAGACAACCGTAGCGAGGCCTGGGGGAAATCAGCCCGTGCAGGGCCTGGACACGGGCGTGGTGGCGAGTGGCTGGACGTGAAGCTGGCCCAGCTCCGCGTGGCCCCTCAAAGCGTGGGGGCCAGGGCAGTTGCCCCGATTCAGCCCCGCTCCCCCCCAAGATGGCTTTGCCTGTATTTCCCTTTTATGCTAGTATGAATTTATGCCTTGCAGATTGTCTAGTTGTTCCTTTGGTCAGGTAAAGCTGGAAAGCCAGAGAGCAACTAAAATAAAGTTAACCACATCTCGGAGGTTGGCATCTGTTAAAAACATACATCGGGACTGGGCTTAGATTGTTAGTAATGAGTTTTTCTCTTGTCTTTTTGTGATCATGATTGGATCCGTTCTTTATTAATGAGCTCTTCATGAGGTCTTCATATTTTAAAGCCTACAGTTACTTAACTGAGGTAATCATTCCATGTAATTTTTTTCATGTGAGATTATTGAAGTACTTACTTCAGTGGGTATTTTTGCTTTATATTTGACAGGCTAGGTGAAATTGTGACACAGCGAGGTTGCTAGAATAATTCTGAAGTATCACTTGGGCCAGTGTCAGAAATTGGAATAAAACCCAGCATTTCTGCCTCCATTCATCTCTCTTCTCTTCTAACGTGGTGGCACACGTGCTAAGGGACAGTTTGTAGCCTAGAGGTTGCAAGTTCAAGGCCATAGCATAAGCACTCACAGAGAAGCCCTGTCAAATTCCAGCAAATCTGCAAATTCTGTTAAATGCCTTGTTACACAAAGACATCAAAAAGGAAAGGACCTACACTAAATTGTATCTTAGAGGTTTGACTAGGCCTCTTATACTTCGCTATTTTGAAATATTAGAAGATGGGGACTGAGATCTGTGGAAGTACTAAATCATTTATTATAATTTTTTACTAAGATAAAACACCTTGAGTGTTGCAGCTCTACTATATGAAGTCCATCTAGTATGGCAAAGTAAAAATTTGTTGCGTTTTGGAAAGGCGTGATTAAGGTACATTGGCTATGAAATTACTTGATGTTGAACATATTGCCTTGTACTGTGGGTGGGAAATGATAAACTCTGAGAGTCCCTATTATCTCTTAAAGCATCTTGTTTGATCCTAATCTGATTTGTTCATAAAACTACATTAGTGGCCCAGTCTGTCATGGGACTCATTAATTGATGCAGTCCTTGTCTCTTTGGATGGAACAGTCAGTGTTACTCAGACTACAGCAGGGATATTTAACGTAAATGATAATGATGGTGAGGGAGAGCTGCTGTTCCCCTTTTCTTTGAGAAATGTGAAGCACATTCAGGAAACTTATATCAGCATGGTAGTTCTTCATAACTGATTCCCAGTATTTATTCTCTCTTCCCACACTCATTTACTTCTTTTTAAACCAGGAACTGCAAGGTCTATTGAACTCAATTGTGAAATAACATTAAAATGATATTAAATGTTTTTTCTTTGGTAGAACAATTTATATTTTTCTGTTTTCTTTATAGGCTCTTCTGTAAAATTTGTTTGTAAAAATCAGACTTTCAGATAAATGCCTAGTAGCCTTAACGAAAAAAATACAGGTTTACTTTGTCTCCAGTGGCTTCTAAATCTTGCCCTCTCCCTAAATTTTGATAAGAAATTTAGCTGTTTATGTAACTTTAGAAACAGGTTGGAAGCCAGACTGGTCAGATTAAATTTTTTTTTAAAAAGGAAGGAATATTCCTAGTTGAAATATTGATACTGGGATAAATTTAAGAATGTTGGCAGCTGGCACTTGAGGTAAGATATTCATTAAACATATCATGGTCCAGATATCAAGAACTGGTAAGAGAAATATGGGCTGGGAAGTAGAGGAACAAAGTTGTAAATTATTTCCACCTGCCCCCCTCCCCCCTTCTTAAAAGTACATTGGGCACAGTTTATAGATTTCATAGACATTAAGGCTGAAAGGGACCTCGGAAGATCATCGAGTCCAGGCCCTGCCCAAGGGGCAGGATCATAGGATCCCAGCAAGATAAGCGTCCAAATTTCTCTTGAAGGTGTTCAGTGTAGGTGCTTGAGCCACTTCCAATGGCAGGCTATTCCAGACCTTGGGGGCTCGGACAGTAAAGAAATTCTTCCTTATGTCCAGCCTGGGGGACAAACGTTCCCCCAGATACTGGTGGTCACCTCTGATAAACTTATAGGTGGCCATCAGATCACCCTTGAGCCTGCGCTTTTCCAGGCTAAAGATCCTCCTAGCTCTCAGCCTGTCATCATAAGGTCTGTTTTCCTGACCTCTAATCATGCATGTGGCTCTTCTCTGGACTCTCTCAAGCTTCTCCACATCCTTTTTTAATTGTGGGGCCCAAAACTGGATGCAGTACTCCAGCTGCGGCCTCACCAAGGCCAAGTACAAGGGGAGAATGATGTCCCGGGATTTTCTTGAGAAGCATCTCTGGATGCAAGCCAGTGTTTTGCTGGCTTTACTAGCCGCAGCATCGCATTGAAGGCTCATGTTCATCTTGGGGTCATTGATGACCCCCAAGTTTCTTTCTTCCGTAGTGCTAGCCAGCGTAGCACTGCCGAGCCTATAAAGATGATGCAGGTTTTTCTTCCCAAGGTGGAGAACCTTGCATTTTTCAGTGTTAAACACCATCAGGTTCTTGTCCACCCATTTGCTGAGCCTGTCCGGGTCAACCTGAATCGCCCTCCTGTCTTCAGGTGCGGATGCTTTGCCCCAGAGTTTGGTGTCATCGGTGAACTTGGCCAATCTGCTTCTGACTCCAATGTCCACATCATTAATGAAGATGTTGAACATTATGGGTCCAAGGACAGAGCCTTGGGGGACCCCACTGGTCACAAGGCACCATGACGTTTGACTTCCATCAACCACCACCCTCTGGGTCTGACCACGGGCCAATTTCCCAGCCAGTGAATCGTGGTGGACCCAAGGCCACAGTTGGCCAGTTTCACCAAGAGGTGATCGTGGGATACCAGATCAAAGGCTTTTTTGAAGTCAAGAGATATGACATCAATCTCTTCTCCCTTGTCCAGGTGATAGGTCACCTGGTCATAAAAGGAAATGAGATCGGTCAAGCAAGACCTACCCGCAACAAACCCATTCTGGCTATCCCTCAGGATGTTGGTGTCGGCCAGTCCGTTAAGGATGGCCTTTTTAATAAACTTTTCTAAGACCTTCCCTGGGATAGAGGTCAGGCTGATGGGCCTGTAGTTTGCCGGATTCACTTTCCTCCCTTTCTTAAAGAGAGGCACCATGTTGGCCTTCTTCCATTCTTTGGGCACTTCACCAGAGCGCCAGGAATTCTCAAAGATCCGTGCCAAGGGCTGGGCCATGATGCTCGCCAGCTCCTTGGGGTTAGATTGTCAGGGCCGGCTGACTTGAAGGTATCCAGCCTCTCAAGGTGTTCCTTCACGAGGTCAGCATTGATTGGAGATGAGAACATTGCGGCTTGAAAAGTAAGAGATGATTGGGGTTACCTTGCTTGTAAGACCTGACATTCAAATGATACCTATTTTGATGGCATGACAAAAGAAGCTGGTCACTTTATAAATCAAGGGAATAGAACTTTATTACAGGTAGTAATAGGGATTTTATGATCAGGGCATTAATGCTCAATGTTAAACAGTATTTTTATTCTGGTTTTGGCTTCCTTGCAGTTGCTGTTTTGCTTCAGCTTGATTGGCCAATCAGCTTATAAGCCTTAACTTGCAATTTAGTAACTGTATTCCCCCCCTCCCCAATCAAAATGACCATTTATAAAGTCACCCTTATGACATAGAAAATGGACTGTGGAAATGGGTACTTGTTTAAATATACATGAGCTCAGTACTGTGATGTTCTTAACTCCTTCCACTTCCATTATGTTCAGTGGGCAATAAACATTCATGGTATTTTGAAAGACTAGGCTTCCTTCTGTAAGATCTCTTGTATGTTTCCAAAACTAGACTTTACTGTTGTAGCCAGGTTTGTATGATGGACTTTGTGACAGGTGTGTGCAGGGAGTCAAAAATGCTACTGTGTTGCAGGGATATGCCCATGCAGACTTGACTGTAAGTTTGGCACTTAAACTTGTAGCTTTTTCGAGTATTTGTCCTCCTTAGGTAGTGTTTGGTGAACTATACTTGGCATATTTATTTTTAAAATAATTCTTTTAAAAAGATAATATACCAACTACTTTTAAAATATCTTTAAAGAAATATACCCCCCCCATTCCATTTTATTCTGGTTATCTGGATATCTAATTTTCATATGATTAAGTTAAAATTTATGGATTGGTCAGAATCAGTGAGATTTGTGTTTTCTAGTTCTGAAATGCGTTACAGTAGGATTTTACCACTGCGCTTGGATGCTAAACAGGATGGAAAAAAATACACTCCATATCTTGAGCTTTATTTCAAACAATATAGGCAAATGTTAAAGCCTATTTCAAAATTTTGGTAGAATACATATATTGAATTATTTTTAAAAAGAAAATGGGGAAAAGCTTTATTCCTGTGTCCACTCTTTTGCTCAGTTCTCATCTCCAATCATCTCATTTTTCTGGTGGTATTGTGCTTTGTTACAGTCTTTTTCTTCTGCCTCTGTCTAGGTTTTCTCATCTTTTCCAATGAGATAAGAGAAGAGAGTGTAGTATGGGTTTAAAAAAAATAAAATAATGGATGCTAATATTTACTCCTTTTTCAGACTGGTTTTGATCATGCCAAAACTCAAAGAGTAAATAGATAACATGAAATATCTCAACTTAAAAAATCTGAGTGTCAATCCCTGTTAATAATGGTGTGGATATGGGTTACAGCTCACTTAAAATCTGCAGGCATGCCAACTGCTACAGTATTAAAAGCCAGTGTCTGCCTATGGAACTTTGTATCTCGATGCAAGAGTCTCTTGCATTTGCATTGTATCTTATATTACTACCAATCAGTTTGGCTACTAGTTGTGATATATTACAGCAGATAAATCCTCCATCCTTAGAAAGGATTGATGGCCCATCCCATATTTGATTCTTTGGGTAGTGGGAGAAGGTACAGGGCAGTGATGCTCCATCCGTTGGTCCTATGGGCCAGATGAGTGGCAAGGGGCCAGTCTGTAGGCCACATTGGGTTCTGGAGCCCAGCACTGCCCCATCCCTTCCCCACGTGCCAGGATTAAGTCTTAGCACTGCCCTTCCTGCTCCTCATGCACCCATGTTGGGCCCTAGGCACCTGCCATTGCCCCTTCCTGCCCCCCAGTGTTCTGGGATTGGGGCCCAGAACTGCCTTTGTCCACCCCTGTGTGCTGGGATCTGGTGCCCTGTCTAACACAGAGGCCAGGGCTTCCCGTGGATCTGGAAATAGAGGTAGGAGAGTGGTGCCACTGCTCCCCTTTTGCTAAATTTATGGACCTGCTGGGAGCCCTGCAGGCCAGATGACATGGCACTATGGGTTGAGTATCCCTGCTCTCGTGGCACTAGAAGATATATTTCTGAGCACTTTGAAGGAACCTGAGAGGTCTTGGGAGCAGGGGGAAAGCTAGAGTAGTAAGTACCATACCAGCTTTTCTCTCTCTCTTTCTTTTTTAAGATTTTAAATACAAGTGAGAGGAGTAGCACAGTTTTATGAAGAAATTAAATCTTGTCTGTGAGTAAGAAATTGTCTTCAGCTGAAAAAACATTTCATGATCTACTTTGCTATGTAATAGAAACAATAGGCTTAGTAGGTAACTGGCAGATAGCAAGCCATTCTTCAATGTTACAGGACAGAAGCTGTGACCAAGTTGTACAACATAATGTTTTGTTGTATAGCTGAGAGTATCTAGGAGTGTTACAGATTTTCATATCATACCAATTATATCAAGACTCTACCATTTGCCTTGAGAGACTTTGATAATTTGTGCCAAGGCTTGGCAACCTATGGTCTTGTGGGGCCAGGTCCAGTCCATAGAGCTGGTGGGACTGTGGCAGTGTTTTGGCGGGGGGGCGGCTTTTCCCCCAAGACAGCCAGGCAGCAGAGAGAAGTAGCTGCCTTTGGGGCAACTGGTGGGGCATGAGCCAGGCTGGAAGTGGCCCATGCTCAGAGTTAAGCTTCATTAAAACAGTCTCCCACTTCTGAACGTTGCCAACCCCTGATTTATGCAATATGTACTGGTAATTATGAAGTGTATTGAAAACATTTCTTATTCATAGGCTGTGGACTGAGGACAGCTTTTGTTTTTGTTTCTTCCAGGTCATCTGATACAAACAGAAAAAGACACAAACACCAAAGAAGTAAGCATAATGTGGCTTACCTTTTGTTTGGAAAGTTGAACAGTGCTTTCACTTAGAGATGGCTGACAAAGGTGGGAAGATCCTTCCAGTACCATTATACATTGAAGTGGAGTATGACTATGAATATGAGGCAAAGGATAAAAAAATTGTGATAAAACAAGGTGAGAAATACATGTTGGTGAAAAAAACTAATGATGATTGGTGGCAAGTCAAAAAGGAGGAACACTCCAAGCCCTTCTATGTGCCAGCCCAGTATGTGAAAGAAGTAACACGAAAAGCACTGATGCCACCTGTTAAACCAGCAGGTGGACTGCCAAATAGTTCTTTGAAACTGATGCATGCGGGGTTACAGAGATCAACAGAAAATGTGAACAAGTCACCAGAACTTTCTAGTTTTGGAAAAACTGTTCCAGTTCAAGTGGCTGGTCTAGTTCGGGATGCCAATCAGAATCTGGGACCAAACAGTAGCCCAGGTCAAACTGTTTGCTTGAATCTGGACCTTGCCCAAAATAATGGAAAACTAAATAATGAGTTACAGTCACCCAAGGTTTCCAGCCAGTACAGGACCCTCTCCGTGGGCCATTTCCCTTGTCCTGAGTTCATGGAAATAGAAAAGACCAGCTTTTCCCTTGAACAGTCTTGTGATTCAGCAGGAGAAAGCTCAGAAAAAATACATCAAGATTCAGAATCTGGAGATGAACTCAGTAGCAGCTCCACAGAACAAGTTCAGGTAAGCTAAATAGCTCTGTAGACATTATCACTGTTGTTATTTCCCTTTTCAGTTAAATCTTAGCGGTTTCCTACGGTCTTTAATTTACTTCCTATAAAGCTACGATTGGCATATTATAGTGAGAATATTTTTTCCTGTATTTTATCAGGTTGTACAAAGTTGTCATATTTTAGTAGTGACAGGTACTTTTCACTGTCCTTTCATCCTTCTTATGTACAAGATCCTGGTATTGAACAGCGTAGGGGAATTTCCCTTAAAACTACTTTTTAATATACAGTGTGGAATTCATAGTTGATAGGGTCGGAAGGGACCTGAGCAGATCATCAAATCCAATCCCTTGCCATGGCAGGAAAAAGTACTGGGGTCAAACGACTCCAGCAAGGTGTTTGTCTTACCTCCTCTTAAAGACCCTCAGGGTAGGAGCCAGCACCACTTCACTTGGAAGTTGGTTCCAGATCCTAGCTGCCCTGACTGTGAAGTAGTGCCTCCTGATGTCTAGTCTGAATCTACCTTCTGCCAGCTTGTGACTGTTATTTCTAGTCACTCCTGGTAGTGCTCGGGGGAACAGGGACGCCCCCAATGCCTGCTGGTCCTCCCTGACTAGTTTGTAACAGGCCACTAGATCCCCCCTCAGCCTTCTCTTGTGGAGGCTGAACAGGTTCAGGTCCCTTAGCCTCTCCTCGTAGGGCCTGCCCTGCTGGCCCCTGATCATGTGTGTCCCTTCTCTGGACCCGCTCCAAGTTGTCCACATCCCTCCTGAAGTGCGGCGCCCAGAACTGGACGCAGTACTCCAACTGTGGCCTGACCAATGCCACATAGAGGGGGAGGATCACCTCCTTGGACCTGCTCGAGATGCATCTGTGGATGCATGACAAGGTGTGGCTGGCCTTCCTGACTGCGTCCCCACACTGTCGGCCCATGTTCATTTTGGCATCAATAATGATTCCAAGATCCTTTTCTGCCTCTGCACTGACGAGAAGGGGGTTCCTCAGCCTGTAGGTATGCTGCTGATTCTTCCTCCCCAGTGCAGCACCTTGCACTTGTCAGTGTTGAAACCCATCCTGTTCTCATCTGCCCACCCCTGTAACCTGTCTAGGTCCAGTTGCAGCCTATTCCTCCCTTCTGGCATGCCCACATCCCCCCCAAATCTTAGTGTTGTCAGCAAATTCGAACAGGGTGCTTTTTACCCCCTTGTCCAAGTCACTGATGAAGATGTTGAACAGTGCGGGTCCAAGGACCAAGCCCTGGGGGACCCCACTGCCCACATCCCTCCAGGCTGAAAATGACCCATCCACCACCACTCTCTGGGTGCAGCCCTCCAGCCAGTTAGTGACCCATTTGACTGTGTAGGTGTCGATGCCACAGTCCCCTAGTTTTTTAATGAGAATGGGGTGAGACACAGTGTCGAAGGCCTTCCTAAAGTCCAGAAAGACTACGTCCACTGCTACCTCTGCGTCTAAGGATTTTGTGAACTGGTCATAGAAGGTCACCAGGTTGGTCTGACAGGACCTGCCTCTAATGAACCCATGTTGGTTGTCCCTAAGCATAACCTTCCCTGCTGGCCCCTTGTGGACATGCACCAGGATAATTCTCTCAAAAAGCTTACCCAGGATTGAGGTAAGACTAACTGGCCTATAGTTTCCTGGGTCCTCCTTCTTCCCTTTTTTTGAAAATGGGAACCACATTGGCCCTTTTCCAGTCCTCTGGCACCACACCAGAGCACCACGAGTGCTTGTAAAGCCGTGCCAGGGGTCCCGCAATGACCTCTGCTAATTCCCTCAGCACTCTGGGGTGGAGATCGTCAGGACCAGCTGATTTAAATATGTCCAGCCCCTCCAGAAGTTCCCTGACTAGATCCTCACTGACCCTAGGCCTGGGTGTGCCTCCCCTGGGGTCTGAGGGGATCCCGGGAGGCGGGCTGGTCCGGTCCCTGCTCAGGAAAATGGAGGCAAAGAAATTGATTTGATGTTATTCAGTATAAGCAATTCTTAGCAACTCTTCCAGAGGAGGGAAGGCCAGTGCTATGAATTTTAGTTTGTGTACTTGCTGAACTTTGGTCCAGATGCATGTGATGGTCACTTGCCACTGTCAGTCACTGGTTTCTTGCATAGACAAAACATGGATAATGTTAATCTACAGTTTATATTTTTGAGTGGGTTAAGCAGATACACAATGGTATGTATAAAATTGCTTCTGATACTTCCTGTAAGGATTACAGCAAGATATAAACATCACTGACAGTCAATGATTTTAATTCTGAATTAGTTTTTGAGCCATCGTCATTGAGGTGTATGGTAAAAGCATAAAAGGTGAGATGTTTCAAGTATCTTCCACAGTTAAGGCAGTTGTTGCAAAGCTTGTTTGGTTAATGAAAACTAGTAAGTTTGATCACTTGGATCTCACAGGTATGTTTGAATCATTGGTTTATCTAGATTTGCATCATTCGTTTATCTTGGTTTATCTGTGGCTGACAGTGGTCAATACAAGATTTGTTTTTTTCCTTGGAAGGCATAGATGTACTACAATGAACTAATAAGTATGAAATATTTGTTTGATTGAGAGGATAAGTGATCCATCAGCTGTTTGGTATGGTGGTCCAGAATTAATGTAAGAGAAACTTTCAAAAGTGTGTTGTTTAAAACTTTTCTGTGCTGCTTTTCTTTATAAGCTTATACTATAATTGAATTGATCTTATGAACATTTGGTACTATTTGATTTATGTTTGGTGAATAAATGCCCCTTAACATTGTACGGGTGAGCTCTATATCGGGGTTTGGCAACCTATGGCCCACAGGCCAGAACCAGCCTGTGGAATCTTTGGATCTGGCCTGTGGAGCTGTGGCTTTGGCAGCAAATGGCAATTGGGGGGCTCTTCCTCTATCAGGCTGCAGTCGGCCACCTAGGACTCTGGTGGAGGGGGAAGTCTGCCTGTGTTGTGCTGCAGTCAGACAATGCAGTCTTCCAGCAGAGGTGGGGCTTTCTCCCCACCACTCATCTGCAACATAGTGTAGAGAAGTGGTGGCAGTACCCAGCTGCTAATGCCTGGTTGCCTTCCACCTGAGATGGGTCATTAACCACCCATCTTCACCCCACTCCCAGCTCTGCTGGCAAATATTGCTGCCCCCTACTCTGCCTGGTTTGGAGTTAGTCTTTGTTTTTCTTTCTTTCCTTTTTTTAATAATTGAGTAACTTCATCTCATCATGATGAACCACAACCTCATTGTAGTTTAAAATATTTGACATTTAATAACCATAGGGATTAAAGTAGTGGTAGCACTGATGTCACTATCACTGTGTTGGCTTGGTTTAGATATTGTGAGTGCCAGCCTTCTCCACTGGAACTGTTCGATGCTTTTTATAATTCTCTCAATAATGAACACTGTTTAGCAGGAATCAGCTGTGCAGAAATTAATGGCTTTGAAAGCTGTTTATATTGCTGTTAGTCTGTTGTCAGAACATCAAGTTCCAAGATTGCATACGCAGACACATAATTTTTCATTTCACAAAGCAGCCCAAATGCCTTTTTTTTTTTCTCTCACTGTCGCATTCAGCTTTATGCAGTCTGTACTACAATAATAAACTCTAGTTGAAGTAGATTTTAGATTGGTTCAGTTGTTTGTAAAACTGTTATACCCGCTTCTTGAGATTCATTAAATCGGAGCACTTGCTGATTTGATAGACTTATGCCTTTAAACATTTGTTTCTGATGAAGTATCTGAAGGTTTGGGGACTTCTAAAAAAAAATGAAAGGTAATGTTGCTGAGAAATTCCGCAAGTGAAAAGCTGAAGTTTTCAGGCATGATTTTGAAACTTTTTTTTCATAGTTCTTGCAGAAACCCTTGGTACACTTTTTAAAAGCTTTAGGGAAGTGTATGTGTATAGGTGCATACATGTACAGAAATGTGTGTTGGTGGTGCCTGAGGTGGGAATAGGCTCCTTAAACTATTTTGCTGTATGGAAAAGCATTGTACATTTTACAAATATTTTTGTCATTTGGCTTGAAGGGTTTCTGTTTTTTGTTTGTCTTGGGAGGGAATTGTAGAATATATTATTCCAAGTACGAAGGCACGCTCTTTTTCCACTTCTTTCTATGACAGCAGCTTAAGAATGGAGTTTTTGTGTTTTTTGTGGACTTCAGGGAAGCATTCTTAATGTGGGGGGGACTTTATCAAAAATATGTTCTTAGGTATTCTCTGAAGGTCATGAGCTCTGGGGTCATCCTGATTTTTGTTAATGAAATGCTATCCACAGGTCAGTAGTTGAGGTAGCTTAGAACAAGTCTGAGGACTCGCAGCAGTCAGGGCTGTACTTCTCAGCAGGTCTCTAGGACTTTTGCTCATTGTTATATGGGCACTTTCTGGTTCTGATGGTGGTGGAGACTGAAGAATGCAATTGCCATGCTGAAGAAACAAAGTAGGGCAAAGTGTGGTGAGGATGGACCATTCAAGATTAGGACCAGGTCCTTTAAGTGAAAATGTTGATAGAGAGCAGCTTAATACGGAACAAGAATGGCAGATGCAAAACTAACTCTGTAGGAGATAAGGTAGCTGCCACAGTCCTTTTGAAGAAAAGGCTGTGATTCTCAGTTGTGATATTTTCTGTCCGTTATTTCAGCAATCAACTGTTTCAAGTGTTTCAAGCAAATAGTGAAATTGCAGTTGTAACAAAAGAGTTTGTAATCTGATAGAGCAAAAGTGGGAGTGAGACAATGTGCAAAATCAATGCCTTATTGCTTTTAAAATAACAACTATTCCAGCCGGCCCTCAACCTACCCACTTCTAGTTTGTTTTTGGTTTTTTTTTAATTGTAGCTCTCGGGATAAGTTTATGCCTTAATGAAGAATTTGGAAAAAGAATGGTTAATATACAAAATAACTAGTTCAGATGCAGTAGGGAAGAATGTGTGAAGGTCACTGGGGAAAAAACTGATAATGCATAAAAGAGGGATGATGCTAGCATTATTAGTGGGCTGCACCACATAAGTGTAGATAGAAAGTGTTA